GTGTGTGTGTGTGTGTGTGTGTGTGTGTGTGACTCGCTTATAACTTTTGAACGACTGAACCAATCGGAACGAACTAAACGGCGTTCTAAAGAGTTCCCTCGAACTTAGATTTCCTGAGAATTTGAACCGATTCGGACCGATAGATTTTAAGAAATCTTGAAAAATCTCAAAAAAAATAAGAAAAAAATCATTTTTGAAAGTGGTTTTTTTTGGAATATCTTTTAAACGGCTCGATCGATCAACTTCAAAAACTAATCCGCTCTTAAGCTTGAAAAACCACGCTGATCGGCGCTAATCCGGTCAAAATCGATTGATTCGTTCGAGAGATATCGAGAACGAAAGAAAACCGAAAAAAGTGTTTTTTCGGGATTACTCCGAAATTTTTGGTTCGATCAATGAAAATCTGAAAATAACTTATGAGGATGATAAAACTGCGTCGAATGGCGCTAACCGCGTTGAAATTGGTTGATCCATTAAAAAGTTATTGCGGTTTGAAAATTCAAAAAATAGTGTTCTATGAAACTTCTATCAGACTTTTGAGCTGGGAGAGCTCAAATGCATACAAATATTATTTCTTTGAACTCAGCGAGCTCAAAATATCATATAAATTATATTTTGAGCTAAAAAATCTCAAAATGTCATAAGTACAATTTTAAGCGCCCAGGAATGGAATTAGCGGGAAGTTGCACGGATGGCCTTTAGGGTGAACCGTTTTTCTAATTTTTTTTTCTGTGTACTGTTTGAAATAGTATTTTCTTCCATGTAAATAATAAATTGTAGCATTTAAATGATAAATATTATAAAGCGATTGTTAAAATCACGATTTCACTGTTTGAAATGGTAATTTTTACCAGTTGATCATTATTTATTATAAATCGACTATTATTTATTACAATTGACTATTTTCCGTGCTTACACTCGGAAAATTTAACTTTTGATACATTAAAAATTCCACTCTTAAAATACATATTTTACCAGTCCAAGCAAATCAATAATTATAGTTTGATTTTTAGCGTTGCATTTAAAATTTACCATTCTACTTTGTAAATATTGACGTTGTTTGTATAGAAAATTTAGTAACTGTAGTTTATATTTTTTACATATCATGTGATCATTTTTTAGGTACGAAATGATAAATATCAAAGTCAAAATTCTTAATTATTATACTTTAACATTTTCGACCTCCACATAGCGAATATTACTCTTTCAAATAGTATTTTCTTCCATATAAATAATAAATTGTAGCATTTGAATGATAATTATTATAAAGCGATTGTTAAAATCACGATTTTACTGTTTGAAATGGTAATTTTTTCCAGTCGATCAGTACTTATTATAAATCGACTATTATTTATTACTATTACAATTTACTTTTTACCGTGTAGTGAACCGAATTACTTGAAATTTGGTATAAGTCTTCTTTGTAGACTTCTCTATCGCATGAACTATCTTCATCCCCAAATTTCAATACTTACTTTTTTTTTTTATTCGGAAAACTCAAAAAAAGTGGTACAAAAATTAATTTTTTTTTCAGGGAGTTATTTTGTGAAAAAATTTTTTTTTCAACTTTTTTTTTATTTATTACGGTAGCGGCATCAATCTAAATTAATAATCTTTTTTTTTACTAGATTTATTAGCTCCTAACTTTTGAATTTTGAATTTTTTTACTTTGTTTTTTTTTCTGTATTCTTGAAATACTGATAAATATCTTATAAAAAAATGAATAGTAAAAATATCGATTGTTTTTTTTTTTACAGCACTTCAAAAATTACCTTAAATTCAAGCTTATAGACCAGAATGTCCCTTAAAAAAATCCAAATAAAACTTTGAAATTTTATATAATTACCAATTTTAATAATTAAAATAATTATTTATTACTATTATTGTCGAATAATTCCCATAAAATTTTATTAACAAAACATTTATTTATAATTAATAAAATAAACAATAAAACCAAGTTATGACGACGTTAAAATCATGCTTTAGTAAGCAGTCTACTAGCACACAAACTGTTTGACGAAAAAAAAAAATGAAATAAATTTATATCACTCAATAAATAGTCTAAGCACATGTGACATTAAATTAATACCTGTTTTACGAAGCGGAAAATCGTCTCCGAATTTTTCCTGCAGCATCTGAGGCATTCGATAAGGATGCGAAGTATTCGTCGAACTGCTCGATTCGGACTGTGACTGTATCCTGCCAAGCGAAAAATGATCGATAATTGAAAAATTCATCGGGGTAGAGTCGAGGATTAAAAATAAAGTTTTTAAATATTTTAGGAGTAAAAATAAATTTAAATGTAAGTTTTAAAGTAATGGGTAATGTAAAGACGGACGGTTAAACGATTTAAAGCAAGTGGTTATTGCATAGGAAGGACAGGAAAATATCCTCGGTCACAACACTCGTCAGTGCTAAATGAATAACTGGGCCAGGTTGTGCTATTATCGTTACACCACGAGACTTACAGCCGTGCAGTCAAAGCAGTCCAGTAAAATTGCACTTGCAGTGACTATTCACTACTGTTTGGCCTCGATATAAACTAAAACTACTTTAAAATTTACCCGCCTCAATTGCCCTCGTAAACTATTTATTATTTATACTTAATTCATGTGATTTGCCTTTAAGGATAATTCTATGAATTCTTTGTTATATTTTATTATTTTATATTTTTAATAAAATTAAAAATATTAAAAAAATATCGACAGTAAATTTTTTAAATATAAAAAAATTTTAATAAGTTATTTTTTATGTTTTTTAATAATTTATAATCTATATTATTGAGAGAATAAGAAAAATTTTCTGTCCAGGATAGTCATATGATAAAATCGGTTTTTTTTTTAGTGAAATTTAGTGTTATTGCAAAGGTCTTGATTTGAATTTGTGCCTTTTCAAGATTTCATATCATTCTCACCGATAGACAATTTATTATGATAAGTATTTAGGCTGCATTCGAAAATTCTCTATCTCTAGATACATAATTAAGAAATGACTGTGCATCTTGTGAACTATTGACATTTTTTAAGATATAAGCTCATCCTGATGTTACACTCATCGAGACTTTTCATTTGAGTACCCACATCAATTTTTCATATATTTCATATATTTATATATATGTATATATGAAAAATATATCAAAATGCATGTGGGTACTGAAATGAAAGCTCTTGATAAGTATAATATCGGGATGAGCTAATATCTTTAAAAATGTCAATATTTAAGAAATTACAGTGCAATTTAACATAATTAAAAAATGACCTTGTATTTTGTGAACTATTGATATTTTTAAACATATAAGCACACCCCGATGTTACACTCATCAAGACCTTTCATTTGAGTACCCACGTCAATTTTTCATATATTTATATATATATTATCTATATGAAACATATATCAAAAATGCATGTGGGTACTCAAATGAAAGCTTTTGATTACGGAGTGTAATATCGGGATGAGATTATATCTTTAAAAATGTCAATAGTTAAAAAACTACAGTGCAATTTAATAAAAGTCATTATTTAATGAAGCAAAATTCTATTTATTTATAGTTCACAAGTCACCGCAGTCACATAGTGACTGCAAGGTCACTAGTTTTTTTTTTTAATAGATTTAAAATTTTGATAATTTACTTAAAAAAATTAATTGAATTTATATATTTTAGTAAAATGAAAATTTGTAAATACTTATCAAATAAATTAAAAAATAATTATAATTTATTAATTTCTTAAAAGTGAACAATTAAAATAATTTTTTTTTTTTTGAATGAAAACTCTAATTGTTCTTATTAAAAGTTTGTAATTTTCCTTTTTTCAAAAATGATACGATAAAATGTCCAATTATTTTTTTTTAAATTCATTAAAACTCAATTTACTTCGACAATTTAAACGGTATGATAATGACACACTTAATTGCAAATAAATGAACGATAAAAAATTCCATGAGTCACTCTACCCCCAATAGATTACATAACAATTAAAAAAATTAAACCGTACTTTCATGACACTAGATAATTTATTTATTTTGAATAATTGAAATGAAAGAAAAAAAAGCGATAACTGATAGGAAGTCACGTAGGCGGGAATGAAAATTCCAGAAGCAATTCGAAGAAAATAAATATATATCCCCGTCAGAATTTGTCGAGCTGCATTTCAATCAATCTTACCAAATATACTTGTATTGGGACAACGGATGACAATTGGCAGAAAAAAATCAGCCATTTACCTGAAGGTTATTGACTCTCTAATCCCGTAGGTTTTATTAAAAAATTATAAATTTTACTTGAGTCTGTCCACCATTAAGCCACGCGGTCACGTAAACCCTTATGAAGATTTTTTGGGTATTTTTTTTCATTAAAAAAATTCGAAATTTAACTAACCAACTTCTATAGCCAGGAGTGCCGGGCACGGCTCCATTAGCCGCTGCTGCAGCTTCTCTCTGTTTTTTATTGACGAGAAAACTCTAAAAATGGAAATTTATAAAATTAAATCACGAAGAAGCAAACGCACAAAATTGAAAGTAATTTTATTTTTATAATTAATTACCTGCAAACGTAATTTGACCTCCGTAGAAGCAATAGCGCTGTGATCATGTTTGTCTTTCTTTCTCAGCGCCTCGATCCGCTCTTTTTCCCTCATTTGATCCTCGAGCTGCTTCTGCTGTTCCCAGAGCTACGATAAAATCAATAGGTGCCTTAAAAAATATGAAATATAATATTGGTTTTATAATTACGCATCGCAATTAAAGTCTTACAAGTCGCAATTAATTTTTTTTGCCACGACATTTGGTCTATTTTATTTTAAAGACAAATATTATGAACAAATTTTGATTTATTACTCGTTACATAATTAAATTACGCTTTACAATTATTCCATTTAAAAAAAAAATATTGATAATTATAAATTATGCAAGAGGGTAATTTATTACTTGTTTGATGAGCTTTCAATTTTATAAAATAAATATTTTGATAAAAATCTAAATTAATTGTCTAAAACGTAACGACGTAATAGACGATTAAATTACGCCGTAATTTATGTGAAACAAAAGTAGTTATGGCAGTAATCTATGTAATGTGTTAATTAAATCAATAAACGAGGGATAATAATAATAATAATAATAATAATAATAATAATAATAATGAATGTGATGAATTTTTGAACCCGGGTCGAAAAATTTGAACTGATTTTAAGCTAAATGATCTGCATTTGAACTTATTGATCTATATTTGAACTTTAAAAACATTTTTTTTTTACTATTCAAATTATTTTTAATCGGTTTTAAGCCTAAATAACTTTTTAGTAAAAATAATTGAGCAGCTATGAATATTTTATACTGTTTCTAATCTAATGAGACTAAAAAGTTTTAAAAGTTTGATCGGTTTTTAGTCTAGTTAATTTGTAGATGGACTTAATGTATTGTTTTCAAATTCAATATGAAATCTTATACTGTTTTTGATCTACAATTTTCACTCTAAATGTTCGAAGGCCAAAAGTCGACTAATTAGATGGTGACATAATTTTTCGGATTTAAAAGTATCTCATTAAAAATTATAAGTCGCATTTATTTGAAAAAATAAATTAATTTATAATATATTCATGCGCTCTCTTGTTTTATGAACTGAACGTCGATTATAACCTTACATCTGTCATATTTATTTGTCATAGCTCAACATTTCATGGATTATAAAAGTTTTGTAACTGTAAATATTAGTTGCAGTGATAACTAATAAATTTGTATTAATATACGTTTATAAAATAGTTCTCATCGTTTGATTATGGATCTAAATCTAGAGTTTTCTAATTGTCGTTAATAAACACAATGTGAATACATCGAGACAAGATTAAAATGTTGACAAGATTAATGTTAAATTTTATACTTTCACGCATCATTTAATGAGCAGTATTCACTATTTGGTAGTGCGAAGAATACCGTTTGGTATACATTGCACTACGAAATAGTGAATAGTCACTATTTCAATTTCAGAGAATGAAAAGCTGTGCCCTGTAGAGGATCTTCTAGGACATGAATAAAATAATAATAAATAAATAAATATATTATTATTATTATCAAATTCATGAAAGGTCGGTTTTTGATCTACAGGCGATGAAAAACCGACTAAAAATTATAGAACGTTTTGGTCTGTTTTTGACCTTGATGCGATCAAAACCAGCTAAATAATTGTGACAAAAAAAGTCTGATTTTGGTCTTGAAACAATAGAAAACAATTTTATTATAACATTAAAAATGATCTGAAAATGGTCTGAATTGTGAATAGTACCGGCAAAAACAGATTAAATTCTCATATAAAATAGATACACATAATAAAATTAAATTGAATGAAAAATATTAAAAAATTTTATTAATCATAAAACAGACTAAATTTTTTGACCCGGGAAGCTTCTTGCTCTATATATTAACCAAATATCTATTCGAAGAATCCAATGTTGTTAAACATTTAAACTAACAGTGAATATTAATTACACACTTGTCTACATAAAACATTAAATTTCGATAAGAAATAGGACATTGTAATATTTTACTGTTATCTATGGGCTATAGTTTCGTAAATTTATCTGTTAGCTTTTCGATACATAAAAAACAAATTTATTTTTTTACACAGAAAGAAAAATTTCTTGATTGGAGAACAAAATTCTTGGCTCAAGAAAATTTTTAGGTGCCTGAAGGAAGACTGAAGTTGTGTTGGCCGAATTAAAAATTTTTCGAGACATTCTATTCTTGGTGGAAGTTATTTTTTCTTAATTCAAATTATCATAAATACTTGATAAATTTTTATATTTGATCAAGATTTTTAGATACTTTAGCAAAATCTTTAAGTTGATTCGACAAATTACTTTGGTTGGTATAGCAAATTTTTTTGTTAAAACAGCAAAATTATTCTATTAAAATAACAAAGAGAATTTTTTGGAGTAACAAAGACAATTTGTTGAAGTAATAAAAAGAATTTGTAATAATAACAATGAGAATTTGTTGGAATAACAATAAATTTGTTACAGTAAATTTTATAAGAATACATTTAAAAATATGTTATAATCAGCTATAGATGATTTGGAAAATATTTTAGCAACAAATTAGTTTTGTTATTGTACTAACAAACCAGTTTGTTAGTACAATTTGAAACATTTTGTTAATGCAACTAATGGATTTGTTGCTATAACTACACTCATTTATTACCACAACATATTTTTCAGTTATCCCGTCTTTTGTTATTTCAACAAAATCGTTTTTGTGTGTGCTGAGAAAAAAATTTTCTCACTTTGAGAAAATTTTTCTCTTGACTATTTAATACCCATTTTATATTATTTTAGCGTGCAATTATACATATTGAATGAAAAAAAATGATGAAATATTATTTGATCTTCCCATTTGACATGTTAATCAATAAAAATATTAATGAAAATTTACTTCTATCTTTATATTTAATTTTTTAGAGCAAGAGGCTGAATTTTCTCAAAACAACAAGATTTTCTTGACTAGAATAAATTTTCTTGGACCAAGATACGTATTTCTAAAGGCAAGAGAATTAATTTTGTAGTAATAAGTGAAATTTCTTGTGTCAAAAAAAAAATTTTTTTTTCGCTCAAGAAAATCATTAGGAAGAAAAATATTTTCTTGGCTCAAGTGAACCTTTTTTTCCGTGTATGTATTCAAATCTTCCGAGGGATTCAAAAGCCCGAATAATTGTTACGAAGTAATTAAATAGAGAAATAGAATAACAGCGAAAGTTTTGATGGGCGTGATAAAATTTCATTAATGCAAAAAGAAAACTGTACGGCACTTGTAATGGAAGTGAATAGGTTGTCTGTAATAAATTAGCAACCAAGAAGAGATCCCGAGTAATATCATTGCAGCTGGCGCCTGCTCTCACCCATTACATTTGTACACATTTAACATGTATTATGTACATGCATATATTTAATACTACGATGTTTCATTCCGTACTTTTCCACTAAAGTGGGTAACATTTGTCGAGTTGTGAGAGAACTCACAAGCTTCAATTATTTATTCATATGTAATCCCCCTATGAGCGATTGATCTAGTCTGATGGAGTTCCCATCCATATACCGAAGAATATGTGTATATGTAATGGTATTAAATAGAATGGAAAAAAATCTATACTTATAAAGTTATTTTTTTGTGTACGGAAAAAAAAAACATCTTTATAGTGGAACATAAGTAGAGGAAAAATTTAGCATTAAAATCTCGGTGTCTTCAGACATGAAAACCAGATATGTGAAACTATTTTTAGGTCAATGAATTAATTAAAAGACACTTGTGGGGAATGAAAATTTATGAATTATCATTTTAATGATCTACCGTCCTACCACATAAGACAGTATTTTTCCACGTTCGCAAGAATGTTTAATGATAAAAGTACATTAACCCTTTTATCCTTGTTTTGATCGTATTAGATATTTATATTGATAATTATAATATTTTTATTTTATTGATTAATATTGACAAGCAATTTGTTAAATTTTAACCGTAATAAAAATTCGCGATTTTTAATTGCTACGATTTAAAAAATACAATTAATGTAAAAACTAGACGAGGATGTTAACCATAAGAGTAACTATTGTTATTTTCATTTATTTTTTTGTTTTATATGTCTGATTTTTAGTTTGCCTGATGAAGCTGAAATAAATCAGCGAAATTTATTATCTTCATTTATTGTCCAAATTCCCAAGATTAAGTTATTCAAAATATTTTTAATATAGAGGAGAATTTAAATATTAATACAATTAATTTTTATTTCAATTATTGTTTTATATTTAATATATTTTTCCACTTTTTGAGTAAAAAAAAAAAAGTAGTTCATAAGATATCTTGAAAAAAATCGCTACAAAAAAAAAATCATCACATATATATATGTATTTATTTATATATGTATATAGATATAAATTTGAAGAAACGCAATTTGCAAAGCTATAGAGCAGCTATATCCTACAGAAGCTTAGAGACATAAATGTATGTATAATTCAACGGGCTTAGTAACGAATGCGCGACTTTGCACACCAACAATATGTGCTTTACTGTTACCATGTGCCTCCGCACCTTTGTACTTTTATTTTATTCCAATATATTTTTTATTCTGTATCTGTTTTATTTTTATCGGGCACGTTTTTACTTTTCCTGTTTGTTGATTCGCGTGTCGACGTGCCTACTCAATACTCTGACAGTTCTCTAGATTATTCATGAATTCTATAAATAGTTAGAGAGAAAGTTCATTTGGACTATTCTCATTTTTAATTTAATATAAATTTTTTATTATTTTGTGAAAGCTGAAAATTTTTATTATATTACACACAAATAGATATTCGACGGTTCTAAATAGCAATGCAAATATTTTCTCTCTCAGGTTTATTGATCCATGAAATAAAAATTTTTAAGTATGTTTCCTCGTAAATAGATTGTTACGTAACAAAACGTTTAACTATGTCTATATTTATGTTTATAGTTTTAATGTGTTGGCTGATTATGCACTGATAAAAAAATTGACTAGACTCAAGAGCCAAACTCTTGAACCAAGAATTCCATTTTGAAGAAAATGATTTTCTTAAGTCAAGAGAATAAATTCTTGACTCAAGAAAATTTTTTTAGACCAAGAATAATTCCTTAGCTCAGGAGTTTATTCTCTTGACTTAAGAAAATCATTTTCTTAAAAATAGTATTC